TTAATTTAAAAAAAAAGAAGCCTGGAACAATTATAAAATATATTTTTATTAGTTTATATAAAATATAATAAATTACTTGTAGATACATTAATATAAAAGCATGTTAATAATTTATTCCAAACAAATATAAGAAATTTATTTATAAAAAAAAGTAAGTAGACATATATTTGATATTAGTCTATTATATAGAATTAGTTACAAAATAATAGGTAAAATTCGACTTTACAGACATATTTGACAGTTAGAGTATATATTACAATTAATATTTTAACAAATTTTACTAATCAATACTCTTGATAATAAATATAGCAACAATTTGCATTCAATTATTTAACGCCATCTATTTATTTTGAATAAAAAGTGATATTAAAAAATTAATCTTCATATTATTTATCCTACAATGTCTTTAAAAAATATTTTCTGATGTCCTTACCAATATTTTATAGTTTTCTGTAAAATATATAATTCGCTATATTGGTAAAAATTATTTGATTACCATATGATAATTGAAAAAATTAGATATACTGTAAATCTACTACATATAATATTCCACTGCTTGTATTGTGCTTTAATTTTTTTATTTAATTTATGATTTAATTTTATCAATAGTTTTATAGTATATTTTTAAGATACAATGCATACATTTTTGGGAGTCATAGAGGGGGGGGTGGACTAAGGGGAATATTTTTTATTAGCTTAAAATGATATTCACAAAAAGTGTTAAATTTCTGAAGAAGGGGGGGGGCGGGGATTCCCTCTTGCCCCCCCCTTCTACGCCTATATAGATAAGTATTTTTAAACATTTTCTATGAAAAATTTATAGTGTCCGCAAAATATTTTGAATAGTTATATGGCTGTAGGACCTCTCTCAAATTTGGGTTATATTCAATCTGATGAGGGTATACAAGTAGACTCTTTGGATCCTTTCATCGTTTGCTTGGGCATACATAATCTAATTCATTTTTTGAAAAACTCTTTTTAATTTAGAAATAAATATATGGCATCTGTATGATGGCACCATCTTTAAACCATCTAAAATATTTTTAGCAGAGATGGATTACATAGAATTGAATTCTTCAAGAATAGGTCTTACTTTAAATTCAAATGCCCTCGAAATCTTGGGGTTTAAAATCATAGAAGTGAAATTAATCTTTTTGGTTCACATTTAAACTTTTTCCAAGTAAGGTGTTCATGGGAAAATTTTTTAAAGGCTTATTAGGATTGGATAATATTTTAAAAGAAATACCATCACACCAAAGTTTTCTTTTAAACAAATATTTATATTTATCAAAAATTTTACATATTTTACATCTTTTTTTTTAATGAAAATAAAAATAATTTATCATTTTCATAATTTTAGAAATATATTAGAAAAAAAATTTAAATATTAAATTGAAAGATTTTAACTAGGGTTTCTCAAAATTATTTCTAAAATGTGAGGTTAAAATTTATCTATGTCAATTAAGTCTTATAATTCTCTCCTAGTTTTTTGCAAAACATTTGATGAACAACGCTATGATATCTTCTATTATCACTCCTAAAGATAGCCTTAAATTCGGCTTTGACTGATATCCTTGGTCTTGTCTGAAGCTTTTTTACCTACCCTATTAAAACATCAGTCAATTTATTTAATTATATTTTTAATAAAAATACTCTGATCGGACGACCCTTTAGAATATATTAAACTAATATAAAAATGCTAATTGGACCAGTGGTAATGAATGGTTGGAAGCATTACCAAGTCGTAACATAAATAACCTCTTATCAGGTGAAGAGTTACCTAGTGATCCTAAGCCAAGACCCGTCAGATTTTGTTGGTAGAATGATGTAACATCGTTCAATCTAATACATGCAGAAAATGCAAAATATCAGTTGATTCCAATGAAACATGGTCTTAATTGCATATTATCAAGGTGGACATGCAAGACATGCAGCGATTAATTCAATTATTAACCCTTCTCTTACGAGGGCCCAAATAAAATATCCTGGAGTCTGCTAATTTATCATGGCAAATGTCCAGGTGGTTTAACCTTTTTACGTCTTTTGGTATATCCTTAATTAGGGACTTCACACGCATCTCTTTATTTCCCAAAAATGTAAATTCTAATTCAGTTGATATAGCCGAGAATTTTATAAATTAACACATTATGTTTTTACTTAAGTTATCCTTGGAGATATGTCAAGCGGAACTTTAAATTTATTAAAAAATAAAACAGTAGATCCCTTACATCAGAACCCAAGGAATTTTATTTTTTAAAATAAAAAATTAAAATTACTATTTTAAAATACAATATTTGTGTTTTTTGGAAACTTGTAGTCCCAATTTCCTTTTTATAGAATGAACTTTTATTTATATAATATTATAGTTTATGATAAGAATATAGTTTTACAATTATGAATTAAATAAATCGTTATATTTTAAAAAGCTGGAATAATTTTTTTTCAATTCTTTATCGAAAAATGTTTGAGGGTGCTTCTTCAAGAATTAGGAGCCACTATTTGGGTTAAATAAAATTAATATATAGTATTTTGCTTAAGTAGATTTTTTAAGATGGCAATCTGATTGGCTTTCCTATTTGTCTCAACATGACATTCTGTAGAAATACAATAAATTGTTTCTACTTAAGTTTGATACCTTATAGGGCTTTTTTCTAAAGCCAATATCTTGGTCGAGGTTGGAAAGTAGAAACTTCATAGGTATGGGATAGGGTTATAAAAAATGATTTATATAATCTGGACATTGGTAAATTGCTATGTTCACGATTTTGCACTCTCATTACTTTTTTCTAATAGCCAGTAGCGTTAGCTATCAAGCTACAAAGGGTGTTCAAGATGGTATCATTATATTGCCCATACTTAAACGATACGCATTTGTGCCACATTCGCATAACATTCTTATTTTCCAAATTTACCTTCAATTTTGAAAATTTTTTTGGAATTAAAATATTTTAATGGTTGATAAAAAAAATTATATATTTAATTTAAAATATTTTACTAATTCCATTTTTTGATTTAAATATATATATATATATATGAAGATCCGTATTACTTTAATTTTTGTTGGTTAAACTTAGAGATAAGTTTATCCAGGTCTTTTATTACGCAGGTGAGAATACCAAATGTGGTAAGAGGTGAAGTAGCAACGGGTAATATTCTTATGCTAGGGATAGCGCATTTTGAGAATTTTCATACTTTAACAGCTTATAATAAGTCACTATCTTGTTTAGAAATAGAAAGGGGATGTACACTTAAGATCAAACCTTTCTTTGGAATATTGGTGATTCCGTCTGGGCGGCCGCTATCGTTGAATAGACCTTAATTATTCAAAAGATGAAGGCATCAGCTGAAATGGGAGCTCATCTCTATTGCAAATTATGTGGTTATGATGCTGCTATTTTTGCAAAGAAGTGAGTGACGATCAAATTGTCAAGTTCTATGAATTCCTATGAGTAAAAATATTTAAATTACATATCCCTAAAAAAGGGTAAGGCCTGGCTAGTAATATTTACAAATCCTATTATTTCTTACTATAGAAATATATTTTTAAGTAATATTCAAACTAATATAAAAACGCATTGTTCTAGTCCATTATAAAGGATATGTCAAATAACCTTTGTCAATTATAAAGCTGAAAATTATTATTTAATAAATTTTATATTAAAAATTATCCCTATAATTACATCATATAATAATGAGAAAATATAAATTTTTTTGAACATATTAATATATCATTAATCGTAATAATATTTTTAAGTTTAAAAACATTTTTTGGGGGAGAACCCACCTAATAGTAACCTCCCTCCTTACCTATGCGATTAAAAAACAAAATTGATTTTTAAATTATTTACTTGTATAGACGTCTATTTATATGGAGTTTAAAAAAAAAATTGTATCTTGAGTCAATTATTGTCTATGTTCTCCAAACCCATTAAATTATGAATGGTTTCTTTAAATAAATCCTGACCCCTTACTCCTACAGGCAATTGATCTATGGAAGTCCCTCTCATTAGTCGATCCTCCATCGGCACTACAGAAGAATTGGGATAAACCTCTAGTTGGCAACTCCGCTGCATTCCTTAAATCGAGGAGCCAACCAGAGGATCATTCTCTACTCTTCTCCATTTCAGCAGGTAGTGGATACGAATTTCTTGATGATTTCCCATCGCGAAACCTTGACCAGCTCCTAAGCAATGATGAACTATGTCACGCCATTGGTCTTAGACTTAATTGCGATATGGTAATGCCTTATCACTATATCCTCTGTCAACGTCGGCAATTCCAAAGGCCGTCACTCTCTACACTGCAAGCGCTGTAAAGGCAGATTCATTAGGCATTCAAAATGCAATAATACCATTGCCAGGGCCTTAAAATCCGCCGACATCCCATCAACCCTCGAACCTATTGGCCTTTACAATTTCGATGGTAAGCGACCCGATGGTTCGACTATGATCCCTTGGAAGAGAGGGGAATTCCTAACCTAGGATTTCTCATGCATCGATCCTCTTGCCCCTTCCAATAAAAATAGAGATGCCATACTAGATGCCGAGGCGAATAAACTAGCTAAATATTCGCCATCTCTTCCCCCCAATTATACATTCCTGCCATTAATCGCCAAGACTCTAACGTCGTTCGGTTCTCATGTCCTGGCCTTCTTTAAGCTGGGAAAACGGATCTCTACTAGGACCGTGGATTCCAACGAGGGATTCTACCTACGCCAAAGATTAGCCATAAAGATAGTAAAATACAACTATCTCAGTTTTATTTTTTCAATATACGAAACCTCCTAATTGAACATCCTAGGCATAGGATAGACTTTAGTCATTTGGCTGCCTATTTTAATGTTAAGGCTAAAAGGCAACTTGAATCTCAATCAATAAAAAATAGCAAGAATTAATGGCTTTATATAATTGTGATTCACTAATATTATATTTTTTTAAACTATTATTATAACTTACCTTGTAATAACATATTATTATAAAATAAAATAAAAACAATAAAAATAGCAAGATAAAAAAATTTTATTTAATTTTAATTTATTTCATGATAAAAAATTACTACAGTATTTAATTGATAATTTTTTCAGTGCATAAAGTTAACATTATTTTTAAATAAATTTTTTTAAAAAAGGTACAAAATAGGTTATTATAAAATATCATAATATAGATAGATAGTGGATATATATATAGCAAAAATTACAAAAATAAGCTCAAATTTGGCATTTATATAATATTTCTTGAAAATTAATAAAAATAAAATCCACTCCCTAACTCAAAAAATTTAAAATGGAACACTCCAATTCTGGGTCTAACATTTACAGAGCAGTTATGAAGATAGTATGGAAGGCATAGGGAAAATTACTCATTTTATTATTATCATAATACTTGAATAAAACGCGTATTGCTATAATGTATTCGCGATTTGATGTCACATTACTAAAATCAAATGAATTCTTTCTTGGCTATAATATGAAAATAAATAGTGATATATAAGAAATTGTTGTTTCATTAGAATAATCATAAAAATATTATGGTCATGAAATTCTTAGGCATTTGAACTTAAAATTGAAAACTGAAGAGGATTAAGAATGAGAATTATTCTTATAATTTTGAGGGGTTTAAATATTATTGTGCTTATTTGCATCTTGATTAATACTCCTTCTAAGTTCTTTTCCAAAATCTCAATTTTTTTTTCCATAAATACATATTTTGTTATTTACATTTTTTATGAAGTGCTCTTGCGAAAGAGAATACGTGTCAATAATGGTAGGTCGCAATTTAATGATGAAGCCGTAAAAATTTTGTTTGATGTGATTTGAATCCCATGATACCCATATATTAAATAATCCATTTCCCAAATCAATAACACATGCTTTTTTAATCCTTGGAGCAAGCTTCAAATCAACTGTTTTTAAGAAGAGAATTGAATTTGTTTTAAAAAATAAATATCATAATAGAAGCATATTAATTATTATAAGTCTATATATACATATCTTAATTTAGAAAGCCAAGTATATACCATGTCTAATTCCTCTTGTTGAATTTCGATCTATAAATTTATGATTAATATAAATTTTATTTGAAAATATGATTTAAAATATTCATACATAGTAAATTTATTCTTATAGGGAAAGCCGGGTTACATTGAGTACAGGGGAACTCTAGGTCACTCCAACTATAATTTTTTTTATAAGACTGGAAATTTTAACCTAACATAGATAATTAAGTCATACATGATTGGCTAAAAAAATATTCGAAATTGGTATTTTAATTTTTACAGAAGAAAATTTGTTTTAGCATACCAAAAGTTATAAAAAAAATAATTGCATACTTTAATGTTTATATTTATAAATAAAACTTTTATAAAATCTTAATAAATAAATTTTAGGAAAGTTAAAACCTAATTTTTTAATCTGAAAAACTTTCGGAATCAATAAAGAGGAATTAATATGATTCTGAATGCTATTTATAAAGTTAGTGGGCTCAATCATAGTTGGTCATAGTATAGTTGTGACACTCTAACTCATTTTACCATTTGCAAGTTATACGAAACGTAATTACTATATAAACGGATGGAACATCTTCTGTACTGAAGATTGATTATCATAATGCCTTTAATAATAAATTTATCATAACTTAGAGGTAAGTTTAGTATATAAGTATATGTATATTTTTTAGGCACCAAATAGAATACTTATTTGTTAGTTATTATAATATTACCAATAAAATCATATGTGTCACAGACTCTAGTCTTACTGGAATATCGATTTTTAATTAATTTATTTATTTAAACCTATATTTTATGAGTGAATCCACTATCACATATTCGTGTCCCAAAGTGACAAAAAAAAATTTCTTTTTCAAATTCAATTTTCTAAAAAAATATATATTAAAGCCTATACTTTAAGGATGCAGAAGATGTATTCAGATTAGTCTAATATTATTGAATTTATTTAGTTTTGATCAAAAATGTCCCAACCATCCTCGGTTTCTCACACTTTCTAAAATTTTATATAGGAAAGCTTATTAAAACAAACGTTGTTAATACTTCATAGAAGTAGCGAGCTACAGCAACCTCTAACCATTATTGAATACTTTTCCTAGTGTTTTAAACGGCGCAATTTTTAAAAACAGCTGATCCAATATTTTAGTCAAAAATATTACGCAAGCCTGATTTTCGTTAATAAATGTTAAAACCTTTCTGCCATCTAGAGCAAAATCTCCAAGCTTACATAATATCTTTGGCTAAAATATCGGGTTAGCCGTTTTAAAACACTATTCTCAACCAAATATCAAAAAGTTAAATGGTTCACAGTCACGTTTGAAGTTTCAGTTCGGGGACAAAGTTTTCAATGGTTCAGCTTTTGTTGTATAAATTATAACGGTTAATACTATTCCAGTTCCGAATTCATTTTAAATCATTCGATTATATGTTCCATACGGAATTTTAATAAAGTTATAATTCTTTATTTATTCAACCTTTTGTAAAAAATACTATATCCTTATATTATATATAGCTTTAGTCACTTGACGTCTCTTTTGATAATACTAGTGTTGTTAAACTGCCTAATTGTAGTCAACTAAAACAAGTGTAGCTCCGTATTTATCCAAAAATATTAAAATCAATCTTCAAGTTAAGACTCAACTTAGAAACTTAATTCAATTTTATTAGCTAAAGGCTTGACTAAGCCGCAATAGAGATGGTCAAAGTTAGGTAATTTAATGTCCTTCTTTTAAATCTAAAAAAGCAGGATAAGAGAAACTGTATCGACAGCTGTGTATCATATTATTCGATATATAATTATTTAAATAAAATTGAATGAATTTAAATCTAACATTTGAATATTTTCCATGGTGAAAAATCTGGAATAAATAATTGGGATCCGTAGCCGATGAAAAGTTTTATGAAATATGTTACACGTTTATCTAAGTCTCTTATAACTAATTTGTTCCGTTTCTATTTTGTTTGAAATTTAAAAAAAAAATAATATATTCCATACATAAATAATTAAAAGTTTTATAAGGTTCATTATTGAATTTTATTAAATAAATATAAAAAAAACCATGAGTTTGTTGTCGAACTTTGTGGAAATCTGTTGAGGCGTCTCGATATCGTCAAGATCATTTAACACGTAGCCATAATGTAGAGCCAAATTATTGGCCATCAACGATGGAGCCTTAAATTTTATTTTTATATTATAAGTTAGGTTTTCATCCTTCGCTATGTTGATTCTGAAATTTCTTGGATCATAAATTGACCTATTTCGCAATTGACAGTTTGTGATTTTGGGTTTGAAACCTTCATCCATGTACAAAGCATAATGCGTGATTAGTATTCATCATATTAAATTTCGTTTATTTTTTAAATAAATTCATTTTTAAAATAAAATAATACAGGATATTTACCAGTTAAAGATGTAATATTCAAGTCCTGTGCAACGAAGTACATCAGGCTTAAGAATATGTTGTAAGAACATTTTTTAGACATTAGAGTAGAAGATTTATTCGTAAAATTAATTCAAAAATTAAGTTAATTAATAAAAAAAACCAATGAAAAGAAGATATCAAAACCTTTTTACACTTATACAGAGTAATTATTCTAACATAATTCATTGAACTTTATAGATAGGTTCAATATATAACAAATTTGATATATATTTCTTTGGATGTATACGTTAACATAAATTTAATTAACTTTATATGCTATATTTTTATCGCTTAAACGTAAGATAAAAAATAAGAATACTTTAATAAAAAACGTAGCACAAAAAAAGGTAAACTGGGATGGGAGGGGGGTAGGAAAGGGGATTGTGATTAACATTTTCACTTTCCTATTAAAAGTTTAAGATATAATTTATGTGACGGAGACTCGCTTCTAGCCTTTTCTCCTAAATAAGAACAAAATTACTAGTAAAAGGAAAATTAAGCATAAATTGACTTCTTGCCCATAGTATTGAGCTTATATAAGATAGATAAATAGCAAGAAAACAACTATGCGTAATTTACCACTTTGCCTATAACTATTTTGCCTATATAATAGCAAAAAATGCAAATTTAATTGAAAAAAAACTCAAATCGGACAATTTTCTTATATTGCATTTGCTCACCTAAATGAGTTCAAATTTAATTTTTGGGAAAAATGAACAAATTTAATAACAAATGGAGTAATTGAGAATATACATTCTAAAACACAAAAGGAGATATGCCATTTCAGTCACAACCTAATTTTAATCATAAGTCATCATAACTCATTATTTTAGTCGCGTCTTATATGTAGGTATCATATGATGAAGAAAAAATTAATAATAAAAGAAACAATGTGTTTTTTATATCTGATAAGACCTTTTTCTAACCAATGTGGACGAGATTGGGACTTGGAATCCTCATAGATATGGGATGGGGTATTTTTATATCTATACACCATAAAAAATGATTTCTATAATTTGACCGTTGATAAATTACTAAGTTTTTTCAATGATTTTGCGTTCTCATCTAATTCTAATAACCAGTAGAGTTAGCTAGCAACCCTCAAAAGATGTCATTAAATTGCGTACGCTTAAACTATATGCACTTGGAATGTCACTTTTAGGTTTTACATATTATCATAATCTTTTCTATCTTCCGAAAATTGGAAGATTTTAATTGGGGTTTCTCACAATTACCCTCGAAAATGGGTGGTTTAAATTTATAACAATTAAATCTTATCTTTCTTTATTTTTGGCATCGTGTTTGATGAACAACGCCATGATATCTTCTTTTATCACTCTTAAAGATAAACTTTTAAATTCGGCCTTGACAGCTTGGGTAGCTTTAGCTCCACCTGAAGCTGTTTTACCCACAATATTAATACACATTTTCGAACTTTTAATTAAAAAATTTTCAAAATACTATCATCTAACCCCCTTTTGGAGTATATTCAACTATTACAAAATACAGACTGTACTAGCGGTTATGAATGGTTGGAAGCATTACCAAGTCATAACCTAGGTAACCTCTTATCAGATAAACAATTAAGAGTTGCCATAGGTTATCGAATTGGATGTAACATAGTTCAACCACATACATGCATCAAATGTAAAATATTAGTTGACTCCTAAGTAAGACATGGTCTTAATTGTATATAAAGTCAAGGACATGCAAGACATGCAGCAATAAATTCAGCTATTAGCCATTCTTCTACCGGAGGCCCGAATATAAAACATCTTGGAGCCTGCTAATTTATGATTAGATGAAGGCCTAAAACCGGATGGCTTAACTTCTGTACCTTGGTCATTAGGGAAATCCTTAATTTGGGACTTCACATGCGTATCTTCATTACCAAAAAATTTATCTAATCCGGTTGACATAGCCGAGAAATAAAATAATTAAATATTCCAAATTAACAAATTATATTTTTTTTTACCAATCGTTATCTCTTACCTTGGACATATGTCAAGTGAAACTTTAAAATTTTTAAAAACTATAAGCGGCAAAATAAGAGACCTTACATCAGAACCTAAAGAATATTATTTTCTAAAACAAAATATACAAATTACAATTTTAAAATACAATTATTCATGTTTTTTGGTAACTTGTAGTCCCACCTCTCTTTTAATAGAATGAGGTTTTAATTAATTAATTTATTTTTTTAAAAAAATATTTTATTTAGTTTTGATATATGTATGTTATTTTATAATAAAAAAAAAAAATAAATTTGATAAATTTGTCTTTAATATGGAAAATTTTTTGGAATAATTGGTTGGTAAAATTATATATTTAATTTAAAATATTTTACTAATTCTATTTTGGGGAGAGAAAGATAAAACAATATAATAAAAATATTTATTTTTTTAAAAAAAATATTTCTTATTTTTTTTAATATATTTTTTTAAAATAATAAATTTGCGATCGTGTCGATATTTGGAAAATTTTCACAACTCTTTAATTTTAAATCAATAATGGAGTATAATATTTAAAAAATAGGCTTGTGTTATATTTGATGCTACTAAGTTAGGACCATTAAATCAATTACTAGATAATTAAGCAATTTATTTGAATAAACATTATATGTAAACAATGATAATATATATAATTTTAAGGAAAAACAAAAATAGTTCTATAAATTTATATCATTTAAAAATTTAATTAATTAATTTATTTAAACTTGACATATTTTTATTAATTCACACATATATAAATGAGTGGAAGATTTTCTTCCAGTTCCGGGGATGCTCGACTTAAGATCCTT